ACTTGTTGGAACACAATTACGTTGGAAACGCAGGAATACAGTTCCACCCTTTGGCAGCACGTTACCATGAATAATCAATATTTGTAATTGGAAAAAACCAAAGGAATTGTGAACAATGAAAATACGAAAATTTACTGTTAACAATTTAATGGATGAAGTAGCTGACATGCTACATACGAAGTAAAAAAATTTAGAATGCCCAGGTAGCGAGCTCTTGAGGTAAATCTGCTCGTAGCAGATGTGCATCAGTCTGGTCCTTACACCTAGCAACTAAGCGGTCGCTAGGCGCCATGCACTCTTGGAGGTAAGCAATTCAAAACCATTCTGGCTTCGTCGTATGGCGGACTGACGTTTTTATTTAATTTTCTTAAACTTTACGTTAATCCAGGGTCCAGACTCATCCGTATTTTTACATTTTCTTTGGTGTTGAGGTATATACGAATGTTGACGGACCAACTGAGCTCTATAGCATTCATGCAGCGTGGGTTAGAAATATGAAAATGCAGTTCGCAACAAATGAGCAACAATCACATTTTCAGGCCAACTGCTTACAAATATGACTTTAAAACAATTTTTTCCCCCTTTGATCCATGTTCTAGGTCGAAAGTGAAACCTACCAAATTCTTTTCGCCGAAAAAGAAAAAAATTATGCAGGGTTAAGGCTTAAAGTGGCCAGGGGCATTTTCATGTCATTACATATGCTGCACGCTTTGCTAAGCTTCAAAACGTTTCAACTCAGGAACCTGAAAATACGTGTTTTCGCAGACTTCGGTACAGGAGTCCACACACACATGCCCCCCTCTGACGATCATGACTGAATGGGAGAGGATTTCGCGTACCTTCCAAGCATCGGCAAGGATAACTGCTCTTCGCAAGTGATTCACAGTCCCCTGCGTGACCCAAGTGACATCCTCATACTTGGATGAGGACAGAAGAGACGCCGTGACAGCATCTTGGACTCTCACGTACTCTGAACCCTCGTCCTCCTCCGACTTCTCCAAGAGATCTCTGTTCGTGTCGTGTGCAACTTCCTGAGAGTGGAATGGCAGTGACTGTGTTCAGCAGATCGAGAGTTCAGTGTTATTCAGACCCGAGATTCTGCATTTCCCCCGCCGTTTTAGACTGCCGAAATAAGTAAGTTTACCGAGGGGTTTTAGCCATGCTTAATTTTTACTAACTAGTATTCAATTTAAATGTCAGGGAAAATTTGCGTATTCCTTCACCGAGAATTGGAATAAAAACTTGTAACAATAATGGCAATTAATGGCAAAAACAATATCAAACAACATTAATTAAATTAGTTAAGGTGAGAATAGTTGAAAATCCCTCGGTAAATTAATTTATGGAAAACCCTGAATATCCATTTTAGATTTTTAGAGAGTAAATTCCTCCATGAAATGGTTAAAACAGAGGAAAAGTATGCATGCTCTTTTTTTCTGAAGTCTCCAATGGAAAGCCAAATATTTAAAGTAAGTTTTATCTCTTCTTTCTTTATTTTCTTTTCTTTTCAAAGTATTCTTGGGATTGTTAAAGACTTTACCTTCCTCTGTAGTACTTTCTTGGCACTGCAAGCGTAAGCATCCACGCTCACGTCGGCAACGATGAACATGAAACAGATGATGATGTAAACGACGCAGCTGACCATCAGCACTTTCATTCGACGATCTTTCACCTGGCCGCAGTGGCGTAACTAGGAAATTTGCCGCCCGGGGCGAGTGACTGTTACTGCCGCCCCCATACTCCAGATCCCCCCCCCCCTTGCTAATTGTTATTTTCACATGCACACACGTTTTACTGGATAATGAGATTTATTAAATATTTCTGTTATTCAGGACTGATTCTCAGCACAAATAATGTAATCAAAATCAATTCTTACAAACAAACGACTGCAATCAAAATACAGCTCTTCTTGATTTACTGGCTGCAAAATCTTTAATAACTTCGCTGAAATCAATGGAAGAAGCAACTTGATGTTCGATTGACAGGATAGCAAGATTT